ATCACCACCACCACCACCACCACCACCACCACCACGACCACCGTCGTGGTCGTTGCGTCGTCGTCGCCGTTGTTATCGTTGTCGTTGTCGTCGATGAACGAGAGAGAAAGAAAGTAGAGATTATCGAAGGGATGAAGAAGAAAAAGATACGTATATGTATATATGTGTACGTGTGATAAAAGAGGAAGAGAGAAAGAGAGAAAGAGACGATATCGGTCGCACGAAAAGCTTCTCTACGCTAATCGTTTGCAAGAATTCTTCTCTCTTGTTTTATCCTCGTGTGCTCTCTCTTTCTTTCTTTTTCACCGATACAGCCAACGTGACTCTGCTCACTGTTCCTCCGTGTATTTTTGGGCTTTTGGACGCAGCATCGTTAAGAATTAGATTCGAGTCGACTTCGAAAGGATCAGACATTTAAAATGAATGATTTAGGAACAACGATTCGATTCGAAATTGTCATTTTATATCTGTTTTATTATATATATATATATATATGTTTTTCTTTCTCTCTATTTCTTTATGATTTTTTTTTCTTTTTTAATTTTGTTACTATCCATATTCGATTCTCACGAAGGAGAACTACCTTTTCCGGTTGTTTAATTACGATTTCGCTATTAATCATTGGAATTCGAATTAGTCGTTATAAAGCGTTCGCGTTTTCCTATGCGTCCATCTATAAATACGTATATGTATATATTTATTTATTTGCGCAATGTCCACAAGTTTTGCATTTAACAAATTTTGTGTATCTAACGCGGGAAACGTTCGTCAAAATTTATTTCGATAAAATAAAATTTATGAAACTCTAATTCTGTATATATATATATATATATATATATATATATATATATATATTATATATATATATATATAAGCTTTTACATATCTTACGATAACTCCGTCTTTTTCGTTATTTTTTCGATCTCACGTCAGCGGAAAATGATTTCGAAGGTCATTTCTTTCATGCGATATAACTAATGATAATGATAATAATAATAATAAATAGAATATATTAAAGATAAATGGCAATAATAATCACCATCATCATCGTTATCATCATGATAAGTATAATAATCTTTCATTGACGAATTTTCGTACATAAACGTTTCCTCTTGAAATCGTTCATAGTAACGAAACAAAATAATATCTTTGACCAACCGTTATCCACTTACCCTTCTTACGAATTCAAAAATGTTCACTAGACGCGCGTTCCATTATAAACTAGCTTCTATCGTATGCGAAACGTTCGACATACTCTTTAGAAAATACGCGAGATTGACAAGAGTAGCTTTCTCGCTTTGCAATACGCGACCTGTACGACGGTTATACCATCGCGTTTAAAAGAGAGAAAGAGAGAAAGAGAGAAAGAGAGAAAGAGAAAGAGAAAAAGAAAGAAAGAGAGAGAGAGAAAGAGAGAAAGAATGAAAGAAAACGCGCGAACGTTTCGAGTTATCGCGTCGGGACAGTTCGTGTTCGGAAAACTCGCGAATCGACACTGACCGAAGGCAACGCCTGATTGGCCGCGACTGCCTCTATCGGACAGAACACCCTTCCACTATGGAACGAACCACCGCGAACGTGATGGATTCCAGCCTTCGAAAAAGATGCCTTTGGTCGACGTGTTGCCATCGCAAAGGCGTCAAACGCATGAGCTGTAAAGCTTAATGACCGATGAGTCTTTTCATTATCGATTCACATCGTTCATTGTTATTTATATTATTCGTTTAAATCTTATGAATTATTTGGATGGTCGAAGAAGATTGAAAAAGGGGAAAAGAAAACAGAAAAAGAAGATAAGACAATAAGAAACAAAGCGGGGGACGGAAGAATAAGGGTGGCGGACTCATATAAGGAAAATAATATGGAATATTTGGTTTAGTCACGCGTAATTATTGCGAGATGATGATAATAAAAACAAAATAAAAAAATACAAATCATATTTTTTTCGTGTTCCTTTTCTTTTTTCTTCTTCTTAATCTCTTTTTTTTGGCTTTTTTTTTGTTCTTTTTTCTTTTTTTTTGTTGAAAAATATCATCCCCTTTCTCTCAAATATCCACGCTTCGGATCAACGCGTAATAAATTCTATGTCTAACAATTAAATAATATACATATACGTGTTGTGAATCGGTGAAAAATATACTTTGTTATATATCCTTTTTAATTTTTTTTTAACTCAGTGACGTCGAAAATGTCGTTGTAAGTCCAAAATTTCATATTAAAAACGAAGCAGCAGCGGCGAGGACGGCAGCTGCGGCGGCTGCGACGAAGGCGATGACGACGATGACGGGATTTAAAAAAAGAAATGCAGAGAAAATACATAATACGATTAATAATAAAGAGGATAATATGTATATCCCTTATTGCGTTAAATCTTATTCACGCGATATTAAGATTAAAGAATAATTTTCCGTAATTGTTAATTACATTAGATACAATTAATAATTCTTATTAACTCTTTAGCATTTATCGCGATGTTATGAGGATAATTATAGTTAATTACAGTCCCTTCCTCCTGTTATACTAAATAATGTTTGGCAGTTCTTCGACGCGTTACAATATAATTATCGATGGACGTTAATTTTATTGATATTAAGTATACTAACGTTTCAACACACGTAGTCTTTCAGGATCGTGCGTCAGAGGAACCCACTCGCAAATATTATATATCTTTCCATTATTTAGTGCAATTTTCATTCTAGCTATCCTTATAATAGCTCCTTCGCTCTTAGACGAATATGATACTTAACGGTATAAAATTACAAGTAGTGTACAGAAAGTTTTATATTAACTAACACGATTATCTATGTTCATACTTCTGAGAGAAGATCGGAAGATTGTTGTAAATGTTAATCGATGTGCCTATGATCTATGAATACTTCCCTATTAATGTATTATTGTAAAAAATATACAAGCAGACAATATAATATCCATAAATTTGGAAAAAACCAGTCTAAGAATCTTTGCAGCTTTATCACTTCTCCAAGAAAGTGTCAAGTTTTTTCTTTTCGCTTCTTAAATTGATCTATATATTTCCTTTTTCTTTTTGCATGTATATCTTTATCCCAAATCCTTTCTTAATTTCTTTTGTTACAATAACAAATTAAAATTCTTTAATACTTACGCTTACTCTTATATCAGATTCTATCTGATAAAATTTAGTTTGTGAAATTGAATCAAAGTTTAAGATACTTTTGTTGGATAAGGGACCATCTCGAATAAATTATTATAACATTTATGATTTTTACTAATATTGGTATTCGGAGAAAATTTTAAGTGCTTTCTTCAACGGCTTTTCATTTATAGATTATATTTATCGCTCTTCCAATAACAACCCATACTCCACAAATTAGAACTGAAAATAAAATTACATTAGAGAAAATTAATAGTATATTATATCAATCATATTTATAGAAATAATATTTTTATACTAACCCTCTTCAAAAATTCTTCCGCGCATATACGAGCTCTAGCATTCATAGATAGTTTCATTTCACTGATTTCTCTATCAATTTCCTCCATAAAATGAATCACAAAATCTACTATCTTATGTTTATACATTTGTTCTACGTGGATGTTTGTGATAAGAAAACTAATGTCATAACCCTATTAAAGAAATAAAAACATTATTTTTAGTAAAATATAATACATCGATATTATTATTATTATATATCTACCTCTATAGGTTTCCTCCTGAGTATCATGAAATGTTCTGCTCTCATAGTCATAAATCTTGTGAAGTTATGACATAGAATCTTCTCGAGATCGTCTGCCTGTTTAACAGCAATACTTATTCTCATACTATTTATACTTGATTCTATTAATACTTTTTCCTTATCGTTTCTGCTAATCAAAATAGGTGTTAACAAAAGTTCTTTGCTTGCTCTAACTTCAACTTCAGGCTTATTGTGCTTTTCTACTATTTGGGAAGAAAAGTTTTCAAGACACATAGCAGCTGTGAGAGTACGTCTCACCGCCATAAGATAAGGTTTCAATGTTCCAGACTGCAACATAAACATACAAGTTTATTTAATAAAGAGAATCGATAATTTTATGTAAAAATTTATCCATTTATTACAGTTACTCCTCCAATATGAGGTTTATCAAATTTTCTCTGATAAATAATATGTAGAAAAAAATTTCATGTAATATAATACTAATATACAATAGAATAAAGATATCACAAATAAGAGATAAAGCAATTATATCCTGTCATATTGATAAAGTATATCCTTCTTTTAGATATATTTTGTATCAGCAAATTTAAAGAAATTTCTTACCATTATTACAAAAGGATAACAAACTTTTAATACTCCTTGTTTGTATCCTTATGGTTTTTTTTACTATCTTGTCCTTTTACCAAAAATATATGGTAACACGTGAAAAATGACACATTACGTTCTCTACATATCACAGGGTTGGGTTCAGCCGGTTTGATTCTTACGATTTGGGCGTGTTTTCAACATACCAATATGGACATACTATGCTGCTCAAGAAGTATATTCCTATTGGCCAGTTTATTTCTGGACGATTCTATCTAGGTCGATGTCCATTTATTCAATTTATAGAATTTTTACAATAAATCTGTTTACAACAATGAATATCAAGTATAATGTGATCATTATTTAATAAATGGAGAATTTTATATTTACAAAAAGATTCTAATTAATTATATTTCAATGTAATCATTATACGAATGAGAATTACATTGCATGACTGACATCATCATGGCGCTATATTTGAAATTTAATATATACTTTAATATATTTAATACGAAATACTTTCGTACGAGATATTTTTATTCATCTTCTTCTTTTTATATTCATAAAATAAAAAATAACCAAAGTTTTGTTAGTATATTGCGTTGTATTAAAAAAATTGTACTTACAATTAGAAATACAATATTCATATATCAAATGCTACAAATATAAATTTGGCACATAATAAAAGATAAAAAATAGTATATAAATTATTATAAATATAGTAAATATATATAGTTTCCTAATACATTAATAAATATAACGAACAAGATCATAAGGCACAGTCTTATTTGAGTTGGTATCATTATAGATCAATATTTTGAGTATTATATAGATATTAATTAATATTATTGCAATATAGTATTAATACTATTATTATAAAATGTGTTCTGAAATAACTTGTACTACATCGTACACTATTTCATGCATAATAACAAGTATAATTACGCTTAGTATGATTTTATCTTTAATTATGTCGTATAAAAATCTCACTACCTGATAATTGAAGACATAAATCTATCAAATTGAAAATCATTACACATTTAAATGATCCAATTAGATTCTTTGATCCGGTTCTTGGCAATAATCATAAATCGGTATTTCGGGTGGTTCCTCTACTACTAACTTAGGTGCACAGCTTCTTGTAATACAAACAATACATAATGTTATAGCAGATGCAGCTGCTACGTGCCAAGAGAATGCTAAAGCAACTCTAGCTGGTAAGAGAGGTTCCACACGGTACATACGAACCATGTGTGATATCCATCCACCATGTAAAAGAGTCGTACAAGCCCTTAAAAGTTTGATTTCTGGCCACACAAGTTCTAAGGTAATAGCAAAAGATGTGGTCCATACGATACCTGCTAAGATTATATTAACGGCTGAATTTTCATCGACGTTTGCCCAAATGAAAAGAAATCCTTCCACAAAAAAGCTTTGTGCTAAAGCCATTTTAACTAAACCATCACTGACATTATGAGGAAAATAAAAATTTAAAACATCAACCAGACCAGAAAATGCAAAGAAGAGATACATTGTTGCGTGTACGACCTTATGAGATACTACTCCAACATCAGATAAACCGCTTGTTAAAGTACCAGACAAGCCTATGGCAGTAGCTATTAATTTAAGACTACCTTCTATCGGATGATTTGTAAATATTCTTTTACATTTTTTCCAAAATCTAATACCCTTTCTCATTGATTCATTCTTTTTTGGTCTCAATGAGATCCAAAACTTAGCATACTCATAACACCACTTTATTCCAAATCCATAAAAAATACTACCAGTCAGAACATAGGGCAAACAACTTTCCATAGCATACATGTTGAAGCACGTTTACGTTCACAATGATGTATATATTCGTTGTTTCTGGAATATAAATAGGTATGCTACAGACAAAAAAATAAATATGATTCTATATTTTAACATTTAAATGTTGTCTTTGTTACCGTGATCTTAGAGTAATATTATCTTGTAATTAAATTTTGTGTCTTCTTCAAGCCATGTTGTATGATGAAAAAAAGAAAAAACTTTTCACAGAAAGTCGTACGTACTTATAAAAAAAACTCTTTACAAGATTTATTTTGAATAAATGCAGGAAAAGTTTTTTTATAAAACTAATGATAAACATATACAAAATGTCTTACAAGACAAAATGACGTCAATGTCACAACGATGAACCCACGCAAGAAATAGAATGAAATTTTTTTTAAATCTACATTACCGACACCACCAAAAATAAATATAATAATAAATTTTTATAAAAGATCAAATTCAATGATATTCATAATATAATGTAATCAGATTTAAATCTTAATTAAAAATGAAAAATAAATTCCTTAACTAAAAATAAAAATAATTCTAATAGCATCACAAAACTCGTCGATAACATTACGTGCGACATGAAATGATAAGACATTTTTATCATCTGTTTCCTAATTTTTGAAAGTCTTTATCATCAATAGATAATTCACTCCTATAAAAGATGGCACTACTAGCATATTCACAGTAACGTGAAATCCATTTATATTAAATTAATTTTCGTAATTAAAATTAACTGTAACTAGATTCGTAATTAACTTGTAATCGACCAAAAAGAATTAGACACACAAATAGACATTTTTATAAGTATAAAGCATGAAAAGCCAAACAATAAAACGTATAACGTAACAAATGACATTTCTATTAATTTTAATAAAAGTAGAGAAATAAACTAATACAACTAATTTAAATATTGAAATGTTTTAAAATTATTCACATTCATATAAGTGCATCGAATTTAACAAAAAGAAAAAAGAAATAAAAAAATATTGCATTTCCATACTGTATCAAATATATTTTCGTAATATATAAAATTCAATATTGATATCCTTTCGAAAATAAAAAACAAAGTTTTCAATGTTTACGAATGATTCTACCGAGGATTCGGAAAGAGTTTTTTCATAAATGTACGTCTCGATTATCATTATGTAAATTGACTCAATACTATGGTGTGTACTTATCTTGCGCGGGACACATTGGTTATGCTGCTTTTGATCTTTCGAAGGGTGTGCGGAAATGTGCGCATATGTGTATTTCTATATAAATAAAAATTCTGCAATGTCGGTGGTAGTATAAGAGAAGAAATTAGTATGAAGAAAATCTATGAAATGCTACGTAATTAACGTGCCATTAATTCAACCATTTATATCCATTCATTCGATTAATTTCACAATACATTTTTCAAACAGACGCTTGACCTTCAACGTTATTCGTATTAGCGCGAAATAAATAAATAAATAAATATATATGTATATATATGTGTGTGTAGATATATATTTAAAATTATGTAACGAAATAAAACATATGTTGTACGAGTTGTACGATAACGAACATTGTTATGATTCTATCTTATATCGCATGATCTATCAGATTAGAATATATCCCTGTATATTAACACGTCACATACACTTAGTGTAATTCTTGTGTTATTTCTTTTGTAACAAGGACTATATACTGTGTGTGTGTGTGTATGTGTGTGTCTATATATATATATATATATGTATATATATATTTATATTTATATGTACATATATATATATATATATATATGTATATATATTTATATTTATATGTACATATATATATATATATATATATATATATATATATAATATTTACTTAGTATATTCACCCACGTATATAATGTGATCATAGCTATACATAGATTGTGTTTATATATACGCACACATATATAATATATATATGTATATATATGTATGTTGCTTGGTCATAGATTTTAGTATCGCAGTAGAGACTAATACATGGATTATTGCAAGAGGTTCGATCGCATCTGTCATATACAATGCATTATTATTCCATTTCTATACTATATTTCCCTTGGTCCGATTTCTGCGTCGGACATGACCGAGTACGTTGATACACGTCGGCAAGTAATCCCGCAATAGGATTATCTTCGACGATGGTCGACAAATGAGAAAATAAGTAGATTTCCTAGCTAGAGATAAATAATATGCTATTAATGGCAATTGTTGGATGACTACAAAAACAAACAACGCAAATTTATAATTTCAACTTTTTAAAAATTTTATTCTATATTTTCAACTTTAGTGTAAACTTTCGAGACACAATTATTGAGTTGAAATGAACTATAGTTCGAATTTTACTTGATCCTTTGTTATCTGTATTAACTACTCTAAACGCCGAAAATACGTAACTAAATAAAATCTAATTGTAAGAGGCGATCTTTTATAGAAAATATTATGCACGCATATATACGCATTAATAGAGGTTTTTTATATTTATTTATTTTCTACATGCATATTATACAATCATTATTTGTTTGTTAAATATGATCATTAAATATCTATTATATCATATAATTTATAATTTCATCATAAATTATATATTATATAATTTATACTAGGTTAACCAATAAGTAATGTTGGAGTTCTTAATTCATTTATTGGATATTTTAATAAACAATACATATTTTTTTTAATTGAAAATTCCGGCATTACTTATTAGTCGATCGAATATTACATCGTTAAAAAATGATAATAAAAAATATTAGTTTTATTTGTTCAGATATAAAAAACTGAACATTCGAACATTATTTATTAGCCGATGTAATATTATATTATTTAAAAATATTGATACAATAAAGAGATACATTATTCAAAGGAGCATATACGTATATATTTTTTCTATTTTCATTTGGACAGGACGGCGAAAGATAGAGAAGGAAATGTGGATGACGATGATGACGATGATGACGACGATGACGACGATGACGACGACGACGACGACGACGACGACGACGACGACGACGACGACGACGACGACGACGACGACGACGACGACGACGACGACGACGACGACGACGACGACGACGACGACGACGACGACAACAACGATGAAGAAGAAGCAGAAAGAGAAAGAGAAAAGGGACGGTAGGATCGGGGGTGCAATTCATATTTGTCCGTAGGCAGCAGCGGAATTGCACCTTTAATCAAGATTTCTACCAATTTGCGAGCGCCGACGGCGCGAAGACAAAGCCTATTGTTGCCGTAACTGGTTGGGGCTTCGAGTGTTCCAACGCAACGACGAAAGAGAGAAGAGAGAGAGAGAGAGAGAGAGAGAGAGAGAGAGAGAGAGAGAGAGAAAGAGAAAGAGAGAGAGAGAGAGAGAGAGAGAAAGACTGATGTATGTGTATACCGGGTGTACTTTGCAATCGGTATACATGAGACGGAAAAGAAAGAACAACGTAAAAGAGCTTTAGACTTAATGAAAAAATTAAGGGTATCAAAAAAAGAAAATGTATTACTTGATTTCAGAATACGAATTAAATTAGATGAAGGATAATGAATAGAAAAAATTAAATGAAATATGGGTATAATGATTATATAGGAAAGTTCAGTGAATTATCTCGTAAGATAAACGTGAACAAAAAGAAAAAGAGAGAAAGAACGTGTGAGATAGATAGATAGATAGATAGATAGATAGATAGATAGTTAGATAGATAGATAGATAGAGAAAAAGAGAGAGAATCATCGAAGGTACATACATCGAAGGTACACCCGTTATCCGAAAATATATGTGTGTCTTCGGTCGTCTCTGTCGGTTCCGAATGAGTACGCGAAGAGAGAAGAGGATTCTGAAGCGGAGGCTGACGCTCAGGGACTGCCAAGCTAGTCGCTTCGCATCCCAGAAGCCTCTACCCCACCATTTGCTTCCGGCTAAGCCCGCGTTGCCACCGCGTCCCAAGCAACTTGAAGCCACTCGTACTTCTGTTTGTGTTTGCTAATTGTGAATTGTCTACTTCTTGCCGGTGGTGCCCTGTGTACGCTTGATGGGAAGGGATATGGCGAGGAAAGAGGAACAGGAAGAGTAGGAGGAAAAGAAGGAGAAGGAGAAGGAGGAGGACGACGACTATGATGACTACGACGAGGAGGAATGCTCGAAAAGGGTCGTATGCTGTGAGAAGAAGAGAAAGAGAGAGAGAAGGGAAAACAGAGGCAAAATAGAGATAGAGATGGTGATAGTGATAGAGATAGAGATAGATAGATAGATAGATAGATAGATAGATAGATAGAGAGAGAGAGAGAGAGAGAGAGAGAGAGAGAGAGAGAGAGAGACAGACAGATAAAGATGAACAGACCTGTACAGAATGTAGAAAGCGAGTCGAGCTACGAGGATATCGCCTACGAAATGCCTCAAACCGAGGAAAAGCCATCCCCTTGGGGATGCTTTCGTCTCTCGCTGCCTTCTACATCCCTACTTCCTTGCACCTACCCTTTACCCCTTTATCCCCTGTCCCCTTTACTCCTCCTTACGACTCTCTCTCTCTCTCTCTCTCTCTCTCTCACTTTCTCGTTCTCTTTCTTTTTCTAGCTAACCCCGCAGACACTCGAGTTTACCTCACTAGTCGTTGCTTACACGAGTACCATTCGCCAAGAGGCACCCGCGAGCGAAAGGGTACCAATTTTTAGCCAACCCACGCTTTCCCCGAGCTATCTCCTCTTCCTGCCACGTGGTTTTAATCTTCTTTTTCTTCTTCTTCTTTTCCTACTTCTTCTTCTTCTTATTCTTATTCTTTTTCGTTCGAAATCACTTTTCTTTGTCTTTTTCTTTGATCAGATCCCAATATATCAAGAACAACGATAAATTTCAGCTATTTCTTTGGAATTGTCTGTTATTATCATTCCCATTCAACTACCTCCTTCCTTCTTTCTCTTCCTCTTTTTCTCAGGATAGAATTCGAGCCGATAATAAGACGAATCTCGGCGAGGACTTGGTGTCGTTCATCTCGTTTTATTGCGAGACGAGACGAATCTCCAAGGGAAAAGCAACCGAAAGAGAAAGACAGAAAGAGAGAGAAAGAGAGAGAGAGAGAGAGAGAGAGAGAGATACGCTGGGATATATTTCGACATCGGGAAGTTCGGAGTAGAGGGTGAGCCAACAGATTTTCACCACCCCTTCTCTCTTCTCTCTCTCTTTCTCTTTCTATCCCTCTTTACAAACGGGGGACATATTGTTTGGTTCAGTAATTCCTCGCGTTATTTCCCGTGTTTGCTTTTTATCATTGTAAACCGATATAGATTGTTCGGGGCAAGTTCCCCTCAGCGGGGAGAAATTTGTCTAGATAAAGAGGAGGGCTTCCAAGAGAGATAGA